AGTAATCATTACTTAAGTTCTTTGCCCCCTTCCACTGCCTTTGATGTCGGATAGGCTCAACCAGTCCGTGCGTTGTCATAACCTCGGTCCTTAGCGGGGACTAGGCCTGGCATGTGGTTAGACATGTAATAATTAACTTATTCAAGTATTTTAACTTTATATCATTTGCATCTTCAATGGACCAGTCAGTAGACCACATTATGGCTACTTGATGTATTGGAGTTTAATTTTACAATATCAAGATGTGGAAATCCGTTACTATGATAAAATAATTTATGGAATGATCATATATACATTAGTCACAGTTGCATTTAGGACAGGAAAACCATAATGCTTCTAGCAAACGTTTTCAAAAAAGGGTTGTTGGGGGGAAGGAATGCTAAAGTGATACTTTGAAATATTTTGTGTAATTGTACATACTTCAAGGACTTCTGACTACAGCTTCAACAGTGTTAAAAGTGGTGACCCATGTGGAAGTATTAATCAAAATCATATGATCTGATTTCAAGAACATGTCTTGGATGTTAATTCGACGTGTGCGTAACCGATTGATGTCAATTGATCGAGCGGATCAGTACTTTAAATGTTAGGAACAGTATTGTCATAAAGTTGACAGGTTTGAGGGGAAGATATACTGAGATTTTACTGTAGTCTTAATGAGCCTTGACTTAACTTTTATTCACTACTTTTGTAGAAAAAAGGCCCTGTTCTACTCAGCTGAGAATTTATTTTGGAAAAGAACCATGGTTACAGACCTGAATACCTCTTCACGCTTGTACCCGAAGTACCAAGTTTTAAATTGTTTACCTTAGCACGTCTATTAGAGGAAAATATTGGCATTACTTTGGAAAAGAGATGCATGCAACTCGATTTTCTATTAACAGCTTTCAAGTACCCTATTTCATTGCGTAATTAATGCACGTTTTTTCCGACATTTAAAATATCTCGGTGTACTTAACCTGTTTGTAGGAGTGAGTAGGCCGAAGGAAAGATTAATTGCTAAAAAGTGTACTTTTTTTGTTAAACTTTTTACGTCAGGTCCGTGATGTTTCACAGGACATCGCATTCAATTAACTGTGTCATACTGCTAGCCATGCAACATGTAATTGCTGTTACTAGATTTCTGGACTTATCTGTTGTCTGTTATTTTGGTGAAAAAATTCAATATTTCAGAAACTGGATCTGTTTGTGTCTTTAGGTGAAAGTGTGGGCAGTTCCTACTCTGTACGGTGATTACGGTTAACTCTTTGTAATGGACTCGACTGAGTTGATACCTCATTCCACGCGAAGGTGAAGATAGGCGCAGTTTAAAAAATACTTTATTTTCGGAATACCAGATGATGGACGAAGTCCAGAAATCTGGTAATAGTAATTGTAATACATTGTCATCAAAACCCTTTAGAATCAGCGTATAATGTGGAGCAGCAACAGAGATTAATTCTACATGAACCATATGGAAAGACCTCATTTTCCATCGCATTCTTATTTCAGATTTTGTACCTGCTGCTATTCCTTTGAGACTTCAGTGACGGAAGTCTCTATTGTCTTCTGTACCCAAATATCTAATGCATGTTATATATGGTGATTTATGTGTTACCTAATTTTGCAACCAAAAAATTAAGGTTTATGAATTGTGCAGTGAAATTTAGTATGTCGAAAATTCTTTACTTAATCTACAAATAAAAATGTGTCAAATTTAACTTGAAATGTAAGAATTTTATAAAGGTAGAGTAGGAATGTAGGTGTTGGTGTATGTTTTATGAAGTATTTTGAATATAATCTTGCATTAAGTTTTTATCTATTTATTCTGGTATTTCAAAACCAATATAATTCTTTATTTTTGGAAGGTCAGAAAGAGAGAGAGAGAGAGGGGTATTTAATAGCTATCCCCCCCTTTAGGCTAGTATTTTTATAAATTGCCCCAGTACAGAATACTGAATGGGTTTTAATCGTAATTTTATCAGTATTTTTAGGAATAATTACAAATTTGATCATAGTCTCTGTTAATGGGTACATTCATTACACATATTGAGTTCAGTTAAAATCTGGCAGACTTAAAAGCTAATGTTAAGTAGGGTCTAGTGAACTTAATGAAAAAAAATTTACTTACGAATTTTTATAATAAAAACAATTCGCTTTATATACTTAGTATATAATTATCTTACAAACAATAATATGCGTGCATAATTTAATAAATTACACAATGTGGGCTAAATGAGGAATGTGTGGTTATGTTAGCTGGTTCTCTGTGCCTTTCAAAAGTAGCGACGCCACACACTACGAACTGAAGAGGGCAGTATGTAAATCCCTAATATGACTACCCACTTCTACAGTTGGATTAATCATGCATATGACCCTAATCACATTTAAAATTGTATGTTTAATATACTAATCCTTGGGAATAGTATTCCTAACCATTTTGATATTTGTAGACAAATGATTGCTTGAAGGTAAAAAATACGTTTTTGGATATATTTAACATAAACCTGCCATAGACTTTTGAAATCTATAAAAGTACAAGGTTTTATGTAATAAATTTTGGGAGTCAGAGTGTAGTATCAGTGGAATTTGTGGCTAATTTATAGTTATACTTGCCTGTTGTGAAATAGCTCAGTCAGTATAGTGACTAGCTACGGGCTGGACGGGCGGGGTTCGATCCCCGACGGGGGCTGAGGATTGCTGTGTAAGTAGCGTGATTCGTGGATGTCCGATACAGTTTTTTGAATATCGTGGATTGGAAGAGTTTTTATTTTTATAGATATTTCCAACCAACAAAAGGTTAGGAGAGATGTGTAGGGGAGGATGGGCTAATTAAGGTCACTTAACGAAAAGTATACGCAAAGTTGAAACTTTATATAAACTGGAATTTAGTCTGAAGGGTCTACATCTTAAGTATGCAGTATAAAACACGCAGAACGTAACAAAAGATCTGTAGGAAATGATAACTGAAGACGTAGCTTTGACCGGTATTCCCCACCCTTAGGGGTAATGACTTTGCAGTGGAACTCTCTGTCATTAAGGTAAAACATTTTGGTATGGAAATCTTTATTTAATTTTCTTTTATTTGTTATAAAATATTATCTGGAGAATACATATAATTTATTCCATTTTAGTGACTAGAAAAAAATGACACAGTAATATACAGGACACTTGTACAGTTTCTTTGGCTTCAAAGTAACACACACAAATAATTCAGGCAATAAGTAATATTATCCTTTATTCGTTGAAACATTGAGGAATACTAAAAATGCACATCGTGACGTCATAATTGAGTATTGTTCGTAGTTTCTCTTCTACTGTAGAGTACCTTTGAACTTCTGTAGTTTTGTAATAGCATTATGTTATTTGTTAGGAGTCTATGCAAACTTTAAATATACTCGTACTTGGAATTTCATTGCTGAAAATCTATTTCTTTAATAAAAATCGTTTGTTCAGTGTTTATTATTAGGTATATTAGTTCAGAGTTAACAGTCGACCGTAGAAATATCATTTACCGGCAAGTCAGCTCTCTGTTTCTCCGCCTTTTCTAAATGATGACACTAAAATATAGCTCATTATTTCATAGCAGACAACATGTTGATAGTAAAGTTGTGTATATATGTAACTAGTATGATCATATTATTCTTAACACTTTTTTACCAATTTATTTTACTTTTTGAAAAGAAAGTACAATTTTATAAAATTAATAACCTTTTAGGAGTGTGTAATAAATTATAAACGTTGAAAAGAAATTAAAATATTGCTGTTACAATTAGCTTTATGTAACAAAGTAACAGTACAGGCGAATGATATATAAAGAAAGACTTGAACAATTTACTGATATTTTGTGAACTGTTGTTAAATGTGTAGAAACGCATTCGAAATCAAAATTTTGCAGCACATCGTTTGAGAAACACCGAAGTAGTCTGTACAGTAGACAGAGCGTCATTAAATCAAATAAACTGACAACTTTGCGTCTTATTTGTTGTTTTACTCAGACAGGATACCTCAGCTGTGTGAATAAAGATTGAGTGAATTTCTTCTCTGCAGACGCAACCTGTCGAGCACTTTTTTATTTATTTATTATTCATATTACGTACTTTGGTTCGTATGGTTTCCTATAAATTATACGAGAAGGAACATTTGTTTCACGAATGGTTAGGTCTAATCATGTTTTCCAACCATTTACATAATTTGTATAATGTATGACTGGGTAAAACTGCAGTTTTACATAGGATTTGAAGTTTTCAAGGTGGTGAGTCCGAAGATGGCTGTCTTCTGGGTTGTAGCGCTATGCAATCTGGTAGAAGCAGCGCGAATGGGAACGGTTTCCATGCGCGAGGCTTGCTTATCGCCCTGTTGATGGAGACAGCAAGGACCTCTGAAACGTTGGTAAACTTATACCAGGCTACACGGCGAAACAACCCAGAAGACAGCCATGTGCAGTTCTACGTGTAGTACTCCCCGCCCTCCTCTTGGAAAATAAATAGTTCGTATTGAACCCCGTCTGAATACGTAGCTAAGTAAACTATGGATATTTTTATTTCCATAAAAATAGATTGGTGATTTATGACAGTAAGTGTCAAGAATTATTTCATACGTCCCCACATGTAATTTGTAACCATGTTCGCCCGGGTTGATTCTGTCTCATCGATATTAATATTTTATAAAGGCTTTGATTCGTAGGCGCGTTTGGTTAATAAATGCATGCTAGAAAGGACTAAATATTTTATCTAGAAGTACTTGCGTTAAGTGGGAAATCTATCCGAAATGAAAAAAACTGTTGAGGTCCCTTGAGGTACTGTTATGGCAGGCTTTAATATAATTATGTAACGGAATTAAACTGTGACGTATCTTGAGAATTGCAAAATTATTTCTCCATCATATTCATAAGGATCTTTGTTCTCTAGGCTGAAGCCTTGTTGAAATGTAGTCAAGGTCTCGTGCCCTCTTCAGCGTCTTTAATTTATCATTGAATCTCTCACGATTAATTGACTGTATCTTCTGTTCTTCACTTACGCATTGGTAATCAACGTCAAAAATTCTTCTATTCCCTTCTACTCCATTTTATACCTCAGTGGCCAGATCATATTTATGAATCCATGTCATAGTTTATCGCGGTTACAACTAATTAATCGTAAGCAGTGATATTCTGTAACTTATTCGAATTTCTGATAAACGTGCTATGAATTTCGACTGGTCCTTGGTCTCCTCTAGTGAATGTTTGGATATTAGCTTCTAATAGTCCATATCCTTAACTAATTACCTTTTTTCATCATCGTCACAATAAATTCGTTAGGTTATTGAAGGACACTGTTTAAAGAGTTAAGTTTATAAAAGCATTGAAACTGATGGGTAAACGATCATGCAACTTAAGAAATATACCTCGAGTATTGTCTGCTGTTTGCATCTGGGAGGCTCATGATTTCAACTCGACAGGAGTACGTGTTGTTCTCGTTAATTTTACCCTGTGAATTCCCTCATTACTCCCAAGGAAATACCGGAATGGTCTGTGACATAATCCCAAGCTACGACCACTTCATTTCCAGCTGCATTTGAACATAAAAAGTATCGTATTTGCCCTTATTAAACGAGCCTCTTTTTTCTTAAAATAATTTCCGCAAAATAAATAGAGCTTATTATTCTCTCTTGTTGAATGTACTTAAATGTATTTTTGAACTATTCAGTGGACTTTTGTAGGAGTGATGTTATATTTCTTGTTTAACGCATCTAAATTGTGGCGAGCATTAGGCTAAATTCGGGAGTGAATTCAGTTCGGACAAATAAGTAAATTAAGTGATATTATAGGTGATTCTTTACAAAAATCTGAGGAAAATTATATCATAAGGGCAAATAAATGGAGATATAAGTATCATTCAAGTGTTAGTTGTTCTAATCCCCAATTTTACAGTGATCCTGACTGACGCATGACTCTGTTTTGTAAACTTTGGTTTGAGTCAGAAACGTAACACTCGCGAATCGCGAGGTATTACTCTGTATCGTCGAATTGTTGCTTATTAACTGATATCTTCGTTCCAACTCCTAAGAATTCCTCTCGCGGCCGGACATTGCCTATAGATTGTGCGCTCACCAGCAGGAGTTAACGCGGTGATACAGGAGTTGCCACTGCCGGCACTGTCAGGCTGGCAACGCAGTGTTGGAACCACCATGAACTCTCATGTGCCTGTTCAGATTACCCGACTGCGAGAAACGCAGTAAACACAACTTGCATTGATATGGCTTCTCACCGCTGTGAATTCTCAAATGTTTCGTTAGAGTAGACGAGTCTGAGAATGCCTTTTTACAAAGTCTACATCTGTAGGGCCTTTCTCCCGAATGTGTACGCATGTGCGTTGTGACTGAAGAAGATTGTGAGAAGCGTCTATCACATATTGGACAACGGAAAGGCTTCTCTCCGGAATGAGTGCGCACATGCGCAGTAAGGTTCGCGGCTTGACTAAACGACTTATTACAGTCTCCACAACGGTAAGGTTTTTCCCCAGAATGTGTTCTCAGATGCGTCTTTAGAGTGCTGGGACGCGCATAAGTCTTTCCACAAATTCGACATAAATTTGGGCGTTGTGTTTCGTCACTGTTTACTGATGTCATCGCAGCAGCAGCGGCGG